TAATTAATTTAGATAATAATTAACTATACATTAACTAAATTATATTAACAAATAATTATATTATTTTAAATTAATTATACACTAACTAAATTTAATTAACTATAAATTAACTCTAAAATAAAATATATTATTATAAAATTGTAAGGGGAAGGTTAAGGGAGTTTAACATTCCCCTTAATTTGGGGAGGATGTTAAGAGACATGGGGGTGAAGGGGGAAATTTCCGACCCCTTGGAGCTCATCTCCCTTAAAAACCCACAAATTTAGCTAAGGGACCTGATTTTTCCGACCCATAGGAGATGCTCTTATAGCATCAGATTTTTTTTCTTGAATAGTCAGCTTTTTCTTTCTCCTCTTTTATTTTAAAATAAAATAGATGAAAAGATGACAGTTTCTTTGGCGCGTGGCGTATGCTTGTATTAGAATTTATTTTAGATATTGTATAATAACTAAAGCAATAAAATGATGGCCGAACAAACTAAATATTTTTATCTCCATATATTTTTCTCATTTCCTTTCCTTTATGATAACCCAAAGATACAATGCATGTTGTTGGGAAGCTACGCAAATTCCCCTTTTATCAGATTTATGAGAAAGCAAAATAAATGCGCAAATAAGAGGACACACAAATTTAACGTGGTTCGGCACAAAATTGCCTACGTCCACGTGCTGCTGCAGATCTTTCACTAATGGTCTGTTTGGATAATGGAAATATTAGAAGTAAGAAGTAGGTTATAGAAGTAATTTTCAAAACTATGAAATAGGAAGTAGTAGAAATAATATTTTTTTGTTTGTTTCATATATTTTTAGAAGTAATGGAAGTAGAACTTCTTCTTCTTCATTAACTTTTTTTTTTATTTGGATAACATTTAAAAATATTACTAGGAAGTAATTTTATCAAAGAAAAGTTGTTAGAAGTAACTAACAAAGAAAATATTAATAAAAAATTATTTATTTCCTAATTAATATTCATTTCAACTACTTCCGAGCTATTTTTGAGTATTGAGCATTGGAAAAATATTTTGGAAGTAAGAATGACACGTAGGCGCCACATAAGCGTTTAGAGAAGTATTGGAAGTAAGTTTTTCAGAGAACCAAACACACTTTTTTTGCTTGGAAGTAGCAGAAGTAGCATCTACTTTTTTTTACTTTAGCTACTTCATAATTACTTACGTGCAAACAAACAGGCCCTAAGGGGAGAAAAATTTACAATCACTCTCACAAATACACAAAACCCAAATTTTACTCTGAAAAATTGCTCTCAATTTTTCTCATTGAGTGCTCTCTCTCAGTTTTTTTTCTCACCGAGTACTTTTCTCTCAGCATCTCTTTTTTCTCTTGAGCTTCTCTTTCTCTCTTACTTAAAAAGATTCAGAAGCTGATTTTGATGATGGATTAAGGGAAGAGGGGTGGGGTTTTATAGCCTAAGTACTCTTTTTTTTTCTTTCTGTCATTTGATAAAGGCATTGTCCTTTCCTTCCCTCTTTCAAAAAAAAAAACGACCACCGAAAGCCAATCACCAAAAGCTTCTCTCCCTTTTTGACTAACAATCTCCCACTTGAAGACTGATTTCAATCTGTCTTCATATATCGATCTATGCAGCAGCTCTTCCCCGGTCTTAATACTATTGCAGGCCAACTGAAGCTGAACACAGCTTTAGTTTGTCAGCAGTCACTTTCTTTGTCAGCATATCTATCGGATTTTGAGATCCATGTTGGTTGAAAAATTTGTAAAAAGACAATGAAATAATTGAATGTTTTATTCTCTTAATCTTGATTACAATTTGAATTTCCTGATTACAAAAGAGAAGAGAATTGATCTGAATTCTCCCATTTGTTTAAGTCTGGGTTCTTCACGGTAAGTATGGAGTGCCTCCCTCGAATGCTCGCGTCGAGTTTGCTCTCCGTTGACGATCTGACGTTTCACTTCACTGGAACAATATCTTCTCCTCACGATTTGACACTGTGGAGAACTTGCGAAGCAAGTTTTAAAACTCTGAACGAGTTTATAACTCAGAGCGAGTTTAAACTCTTGAAAAAGAGTTAATTTGAACTGAAAAATCGGTTAATAAGCTAAGGGAATGCTCTAAGAACTTTAAAGATGATCTACTGCCGAGAAGATGATCTAAAAAAACCGATCTCTAGATCTCCAAGATACTCCAAGATCCAAAGATCGGAACTCAGTTGAGTTTATTCCTATTTATATGGGATTAAGGGGTGTAACCGTCCCCTTAATTTGCTCCTAAGTGGGGTTGAATGGGGTGTAACCGCCCCCTTAAACTGCTCCCCAAATCGTGGGAAATTTATTACATCCACCGAACCTATAAAAAATATTAAATCTACACAATCCCTCTTATTCAACCTCCTCCAATTCAAATTTCTTCCACCCCTTTACTAATAAGATCCGTTTTTGAGCCACTTCTTTCTCTTTCAACCTTCCCAAGATTAAATCCTAATCCAATCCCAACAACCTTCATCCAAATTGGTATTAATTTGGATGAAGGTTGTTGGGATTGGATAAGAGTTTAGATTTGATTTGGGTGAGTGTAAAGTAGAAAGAGGGGGCTCTACTGATTAGAGAGAAAGAAAGAGTGAAGGCGGATCTTATGGAGTAAAATGGTGAAAATTTTCGAATTTGAGGAGATTTAAGGTGAATGGGAGTGTGAATTTAATAATTTTGATAGGCTAGATGATGAAAGAAATTTTTCAAAAAATAAAAATAAAATTTCCAAGTTAAAATATCATACTGACGTCAGAATAGAAATAAGTACCATATTCAAAAATAGGGTCAAATTAGAATACCAATCTGATAATTTTAGCCGAAAGGCCTCTATAAATTGAACTCTTTTTTGTGAATAGAACACGCAAAGAGAGAAAGAAATACTCCCTCAGGGGGGCCAAACTAAACCACCCAAACTCTTCTTCTCTATAAAAGCTAACATATCACCCTCTTCCTCGTGGGCTCGGGACAAATTGCAATTTGGCGAGATATTTGAAGTGGTTTAATTACAGATTTAGGTATTCTCGCTGTCGACATGAACTCGAGTATTCAGTTTATTTAATTATATATTGTAGAAATCTATTTATCAAAGATATTTATGATTTTGTCGTGAGTGAGGATGCCACATATGTATGCGTTGCTAGCTTGTTATAGCTAGGGGTGGGCAAAAACCGAAACAAACCGGTTCAACCGAAAAAACCGCCCGAAAAAACGGATCGGTTAACCGAACCGAATTAAATGGATGAGAAGAAGTCTCTAAACCGCCCGAACCGAATTAAACCGGTATGGATCCGGTTTGAACCCCTGAACCACCCAAAAAAAACCGAACCGAATTCTTAAACAAAAAGTAGCTATGAGCCTTGGGTGTGAAGAAAATTTATGGCTGAATGTTTAGCATTTAAGAATTGTGGGGTGGAGTTTATACTAACATATATTTGAGTACGCTGATATAGTTAAGTGAGATTTCCGTAAATCAATACAAGATGTTGAGGTTGAAGGATAAATTTAGTGTTTTGGTCAAATTTCAGTGATAACATGAATACAGCTTGCTGGTGCTGGATATCAAATTAACCTATAGTATAGGCTGTCAAGGATATAAGATAATTCTTGATGAGAAAAAGGCAGCTAAAAATTAACGAAAATCATCAAAAGGTGTGTGTGCCTGCCAAACATTGTTCTTTCTCTAAAAAAGGCTACATAATTACATGGTCCTCCTAGTGTATTAAGCTAGTTATATTCAGATCATACAATTTGATAAAGTGGCTTAGTACAGTTTTGATTGCTTCTTTTCAGTTTTGGATATAACTAAAACTTACCCAGATTTTTGTGAAATGGAGTTAATTCGGTTCAAAACCGAAACCGAACCGAACCGAATTGAATTTCGGTTGGGCCGAATATTCGGATGAAGGGGGGAAAATCTGGATCTAGATGAGAGTTTTGAGAATCCGAAAAATTCGGATTGGATGCGGATTGGGCTTAAAACCGAACCGAACCGAATACGCCCAGCCTTAGTTATAGCATCACATGTTTTTTTCTTGAATAGTCAGCTCTTTCTTTCTCCTCTTTTATTTTAAAATAAAATAGATGAAAAGATGACGGTTTCTTTGGCGCGTGGCGTATGCTTGTATTATAATTTATTTTAGGGATTGTATTATAACTAAAGCAATAAAATGATGGCCGAACAAACTAAATATTTTTTTATCTCCATTTATATATTTTTCTCATTTTCTTTCCTTTATGATAACCCAAAGATATAATGCATGTCAATAGAAATTTAAGACAAACAAACAGATCTGAAGGAGAAATGTGCGGCCTCAGGTCCAATACATAAATTTATTGTGATGTAAGAGAACTGGCTGGTAATTATCTCTAACTCTTTGATTCCATTATAAAATCGCAAGAAAAACAAGGCGCATTATAGATACATCTCTTATAATATTATAGGGATTTCTGCCCTTATCATTTATAC